ATCCACTGACAATATTTGCCTGAAGCAGTTATTATCGTGCTGTTTGACAAATGATGATAATCTAATTGTCATTCCTTGTCAGTAGTCAAACAACTATTAGTTTGAATTCTACTGTTAAGAGCTTTTCCTTATCTGCCATTTATTTATTTATATATTAAAAATGTGTATTATTATGGACTTTTGGATGCCTGTTTTGTTCTTAAGGTAATAATCCATTACTACCATTATTTATTTTGCTGCTCAAATTATCCCAGTATTGCTCCCATTGGGAGCCCCTTCATGTTGGCTCCTGTGTCCTTTTGATATATCGCTGTCAATTTTTGAGCATGTACTTGATTTCTGGCACCACAATATTCCAGGATCATCTTGTGCTTTCCCTGCTACAGCCCTGAGGTAAACTGTTTCTTCAAGGAGGCCTGGTTAGAGAGGATCACATTAGACAGCATCCAAAACTTTCAAAATTGCTCAGAGAAGCTGAAAACTTTCAGGTAGTTTGGAGGTACTTGCTTTCTTGTGTGCCAACAGAGTTGTCAGTATAAGTTTTTTAAGTGCCATAAGGCTAGGTCTATGAAAATAGTAATGCAATAAAAATATCATGTATTTTAACCTTCAGCATACCAGGAAAAATAGTCATCACATTTACCATCTGGGCCCAGTGGAGATTATATAGCTTTAAAACTTAAAGTTATTTTTTGAAAAATTTCAAGAAGTAAAAGTAAAGAGATAGTGAAAACAACAGAACAAGAATTTTGGTTCCTCATATTTGCATTATCATTATGTAATACTATTGAAAAATTTGAAGGCTCATAATTTTGTAGAAGAGAGCATGGCCATCTTTTTGTTGTAAACTACAAAAACATTTTCATTTTTAGTTTTATAAATGTAAATTAGATTGATCAATCCAATGAAATTTTTTATTTCCACCTAATATCTATCCTTCCAATCATAACCTTTTGTGTGTACACCTGTCTTCAGTATTTGTCCATTTATGAATCATATCAAGTAAAATTTTTCCCACAAATATAAAAGATAAATTAATTGTTAACATATTCTTTTATCAAAACAAGATGGTCCAGAGTTCTTGTTGCAAAATACTAAATGATTAAGTCCTTATTGAATGACTAACTGGGTCATATTTCCTTTTTGTGTTTTTAAGCATCTTGTTTGCTCTTTGATTCTTGTTAGAGAAAATGTATTTATTTATCCTAAAGACTCATAGTCCAAGATTTTGCTTATATAGTCAGTTTCACCCTCATTAGTAGTCTCTGGTGTTTCTGTCTCTTTGCCTTCATCTTCTGACTCATCTAACAATTGTGAAATGTCTTTCTCTGTTAATTTTCTTCTCTTTCTCATTATGGACAGAAATGAAAAATTCTGAATTCTTAATTATGTTCGGTAAAAGCTAAAAAGAAGATGACAAAGATGGTGTCTCCACCATTCTTTTATACTCTTTTGAGAGATGGTGCATTACTTTGGGCAATATAGTAACAAAACCAAAAGATAATGAAATAATGGTGATGTATTTACTCATTTATTTCTGAACAGTTCCGTAATTTTTGTTTCCTTATTATTTTAGGTTTTTTAAAAAGCATACTTAGAAATAATTTTGATGAGTGATGATGAAATAATTCCTAATGATGAAGTAGCAAAGTGTTTCAAGATGTAGGAAACGATCACTAAGATCTGATAATGTACTTCATTTTATTTTATTATTTTGGGGGGATTGGATAACATTATATCTTTATTTTTCAATAATCTCTAACTAAAATCTTATTTTTTCATTTATGTAAGTAGGCAAAAAACCACAATAGTAATGGTGTCTTTTCACTTTATCACCATTAGAAATCACAAATATTTTCATATCACAATACAGTTATAGTTACATTGCTTTCCTGCATTCTCTATTTTGCTTGTTTTCTGATCAACACACAGAAGGAGGTGAGCCAAAGGCAGCCCCATAATTTAATGTTCTTATTTATGCCAAGCAACAATAGTCTTCACACTGGATAGATCTGTTAAAAATTTAAACAATTTTAATGCCTTTATTTTAAGTTTATAATCTTGTTATTTGATGTGTTAATAAAGGCATACATATATTACTATTCTACAGATTTGTTTTTGATAACTGTATTTCAAAATGACTTGTTTCCTTTGTAACCTGAAATATTTTATATATTAGAAAAGATTATAAAATCAACTATACTTCAATACAAAAATTATTGAAAAGGGATCTGTAAGTTATACTAACTAGCCTGTCAGTAGGATCTGCCCTGAACTAAACAAAATCAAGAATCTTCCAGAAAGATCAAAGGCTGGTGCAGGGTGTAAGGATAGATTATGGTGGGCAACTAAATGTATCCATATCAAGGAATGTGAGTTTCATAAGGACAATAAGACATCAGTGAAATATGTTTTTAAGGTAAAAATTTTATTGAACTTAACATATAGATAGAGAAGACTATTTAAATGTATTTTTTCCAAACTTCTATATAGTACCATAATGTGTATATATATATTTTTTTTAACTGAAGTACAGTCAGTTTACAATGTTGTGTCAATTTCTAGTGTACAGAACAATACTTCAGTCATAAAGGAACATACATATATTCGTTTTCATATTCTTTTTCACCATAAGTTATTATAAGATATTGAATATAGTTCCCTGGGCTATACAATATAAACTTCTTGTTTATCTATTTTATATATGTTAGTTAGTATCTACAAATCTTGAACTCCCAATTTATCCTTTCCCACCCTCTTCCCCCGCTGGTAACCATAAGTTTGTTTTCTATGTCTTTGACTCTGTTTCTGTTTTGTAAATAAGTTCATTTGTCTTTTTTTTTTTAGGTTCCACATATAAGTGATATCATATGGTATTTTTCTTTCTCTTTCTGGCTTACTTGTATTTTAGATTAATAAAATGATCACTGGACCTAAATGATAGCAATAAAATAATTAATTTTATCCTATTAAAAATAAGTAATTTTTCTCTTTGATCTTTGAAAGACCTCCAAAATACAATAAAAGTCGTGAAATATCAATCCTTACATATAGTTATAAATGTTCAACAAAGAAGCCTATGAACTTAAATTGGATCTAATTATGTTCCAAGGGTGAAGAAGTTCTAGTCAAATAGTCAATAAAAGGAGTAAGGAATATTGGCAAGACCCATTCTCCCTTAAACCTGGTAATACTCTAGAAGTGAATTTTTTTTAATCGATGTATAGTCAGTTACAATGTGTCAATTTCTGGTGTACAGGGAGAAGTGAATCTTTAATGAAATTAACCTCTTAATTTTTTCCCCTTTTGTCACCTTGGAGGTTTATTGTGTTTCAAAATAGTATGCAGATTTGAAGAGCTGTGAATTGTTAGGAAATTTGTTAAGTGGAATAAAAAGAGAACTAGACCAGGGCTCCAAGAATTATAGATCTTAACTTAGGGTTGGACACAGTTGTGTTTCTTTGGGCTGAGCAATTCTGGAAGCCATGGTGTGGTGGAAAGAGCAGCAGCCTGCATCAGAGCCATGGTGAGAACCTGCTTCTTTGGACTTCTAACCTCCCTCAATTTTTTCATCTTCAGTAGAGATAATAAAATCCTGTCATTAGGGTTGTTGTAAGTATTTAATGAACTACTGGAGACTGTTCAACTTGGAGGGCTAGAACTCTTACTCATCTTTCTCTCTCCTGTGTCTAGAAATATCTACACATTTAATGAATACATTATACAAATGAATACGTTATGTTAAGTATGTTAACAAACGACATATGAAAAACTGTAAAACATGCAATTTCAAGGTCATCATATTTGTGCTCAATACATTTGTATTAAGTGCTTTTACAGAGTTAAGGTAATTTTTCCCCTTATCTTAAAAAGCCTTCAGGAAAAGACTCCTTCAACCCAGGCTCACTGTATTATTAAATCAAGGAAAAAGCAAAGCTTTGAAATAATCTGAAACTTAATATTTAAAATTGCAGATCTACACTCACTTAACCTTGTCTGTGATTATTCAAATACCAGGCAGTAGCAAACCAGTTTATCATTGTGTTTGTTCTAAACTGACTGACTCATAAGTTTAGAAATTTTCGTGGTTGTGCCATAAATTTTATAGAGTAAAATATCTTTGTGTATGCTTTGAGCTTTCATTGTCCAAAAATATTAGTTTGGGTTTCTCAATAAAATTTTTAAAAATGTCTTTGTCTGTATTTTTCCCTCCTCCTTTAAACCATATCTTACAAATCTTCTGAGAAGTTGACTTGAATAATTTCTTAAGCCATTATTCTCCTTGCCATTTTAATATAATCTTCATTTCCTGTATAAAGAAACCAAGGCTCTTACGAAGTCCTAGAGAGACCAGTTTGAAAGTTATAGGCCTTTCCCTTTGCTGAGCCACAGAGCCTCTCCAGCAAAAGGAAAGAAATCTGACTTGGATTTACACATGTAACTTGTTTAACGCACCAGTTGGTTTGTTCAGTCGTTGCTCAGTTTGGAATCTGACTGTAAATTAGACAAATGCTTATTCCAGCACACTTCAGGTTTCCCTGTGAAGTCACTTATGCCTCTGACGGAGAAACTAGTATCCAAGGCCTAATGATTGTCCATTTGATCCACGATTTACTTTTCTGAGATATTGGTCAGAGGTTGGACTCTAATACTTTCTTACCCTCAGTGTATGGTTTATATGTATGTGAGACTCTCTGTCCTCCCTTCCTTGTTTGGCTCTCTCACTAGTTGACAGGTTCAGTAAAGATAAGAATTATATTTAATCTCTGGATGATATTGAGGTAAAAATACCATAAAGGAAATTCCTGAATTGGAGGTGAGGCTGGACTGCTCAATAATCTATGGTCTCGTACCTCTTCAAATTCTGTACTTTAATTATATGTATACCAGCAAGCAGATAGAGGAAGTGTTACTACCATGGTGCTTCCGTGTAACACTCCACCACCGGCTGGCTTCCTGCACTTGTCTCACAGACCCCATTCTGTTGTCTGCTCCCTTAGATCTTTATTAACAACGAGTGGCAGAACTCAGAGAGCGGCAGAGTGTTCCCTGTCTATAATCCAGCCACAGGAGAGCAGGTGTGTGAAGTTCAAGAAGCAGACAAGGTACGTCCGTCTTAGAAAAAAAAATTCCCTATGAGATAAGTACCTTGAGACAGCAAAGCACTAAACATGCTCTCCAGACATCACCACTGATGTCATTAGTCACTTTTTGTGAAAGCAAGTGGTTCTTGCTTTATTTGCAGCATTACCTCTCTTCACTTGTGCCTCTTCCTCTCTAACAGGCAGACATAGACAAAGCAGTGCAGGCAGCCCGCCTGGCTTTCTCTCTTGGTTCAGTGTGGAGAAGGATGGACGCTTCAGAAAGAGGACGTCTGTTGGATAAGCTTGCAGACCTGGTGGAACGAGACAGGGCAGTCCTTGCAGTAAGTAGCCTGACAAAACATCGAGTCTTTACCCCCAGCTTACCATCCCATTGAAATCTAGATTCCTTAGGCTTTCTGAAAATATGAGGTGAAGCAAGCCTGGGGAACAAGCCACGGAGTACATGGTGTGCATAAACAGGAGAGGTTTGGCTTTTGGGGTCACATGGGGAAGTGGAGGACCAGCTGAGTGTCTCTTCTTGCTGAATTTTGAAGTTCAAAACCATAGCTTCCCATGACTGGAAAGGACCTTCCTGCTTTCCTTGTCCCCCTTCCTCCCATCCTCAGCAAACAAAACAAAACAAACACAGTCAAGCAACAGGAGACTCATCATGCTGCTTGCAGGAAACCAATACCAAATGACTCTTTTGGCAAGCAAGCAGGACCAGTTTTACCTCTCCAGAGTTAGCCCTCTTGACTAAAGGGAAGCCTTCAGAAGCAGAGGGCATGGCGTGGACTTCCCTCGTACTTCTGCTCCCTTTGTTCTTCTGTCACTTTCTACAACTAGTTAGCAGAATGAGCATTATGATCATTTTCTCATGTAAGGGACTTCCGCTCTCATAGTGGTTTGTTGTCGCTGCTGCTGTTTTTAAAGTAGAAGTCAGTTTCTCAGAGAATACAAACTTTGTAGAAACCAGGGAACTTCACCTGCATGACCAGCAGTTGATCATCTACGACTTAGGGCATCTTTGTTCAGTCAGGGCATTCAAGCCATGGATGCTGTGTCCTGCTCTCTGGTTGGGAAAGCAGGACGCTGTTGGGTTTGCTTTGGGAAGGGACACTTTGGGCCCTTCCTCAGTGTCTTTTCTACCATGGCTCGCCCTCCTCCAACCCCCTTGGGGATCTGTTTGTAGTGTGGGAACCAAAATGAATCATTAATGGAGGTGGTTTGGAACTCTTGCCATATATAACATTTACTTACCTACAAAAACATTTTCTAGTTTGGTATTTCAAAGAATACTGTTTCCAATGAGGTGTTTATACATATTGGGAAAAAGTGTTTCATGGCGAAGTAACTCCTTAGAGATTCACAAGACATAGAGCATGTTAAAGACTCTGAAAAGCCCTACTCAGTATTTCTCAAGCTTTTTGGAACCGCAACACTATTTTTCTGGCTAACCTATCAATATTGTGCGAAATAGAATTCTTTGGAATACCTTGGGGGAATACTGGTATATATGCTGTCTCTTCACTGGATTATGGTTTCTTTGAGAGTGAAAACTGTATTTTGCTCCTTTTTTTTTTTGTAATGCTAGCACAGTTCCTGGTACATAAGTGGTGATTGGGGCATGTTGATGGTCTGTAAGTGTCTGTTTAATTGAGTTAAATCTGTACAATATTTGCAACATTAGATTAGCAGTATTTACTAGATAATGATGTAGTTCATTTCTGTAGTTACATTTTCATGTCATGAAATTCAGATGCCATCCATTTTCTGACATATGTCTCACTGTGGTCAAGTCCTTTTTCCACCACACCTAAATGAGATTCCTACTTTTAAACATTCCGAAGCCATGCCATGAGAAGGGTGAGTTTTAGTAAGTATCCTCTGGAATACAGGGGAGCTCCTGACCAGAAAACTGAAGTTACTGCTGTACCCAGGTAAACACAGTTGAAAATAAACCTCGGGCTGGCGACTCTCAGATGAGTTTCACTGGTGTCAACAGCTCATAGGGATGAACCATTTAGGTAGCCCAGGTTCTGGTTATTGACTGCACTTCAGTCTGTGCTGCCTACACCTTGGCTCTGGGCCACCTGAGTGGAGAATGTAACGCTCATCTCATGGACGTATATTTATACTAGTTTAAACTTTTTAGATTACTTAATCTGAAAAGAACTGGGAAATAATTTGATTCCCTGTAATGGTGAGCCAATACACAGTGATAGGTCACATGATATTTTAAATTGAGTCCCATCTTATACACATGGTAAGTGCATAAAGTCAGAGTAAGTAACAGTATTTTCATGTCATTGGATGGAGAATATTTCAGTTTTAATTTTGTCACTCAAATACTTTTCATACCAATGTGTGTTATAAAATGTCTTTGAAGAGAAGGACATGCGATTACAAACATAGGTTTTTATTTATTTTATTTGTTAAATTTGTAGCGCCTTTAATATTTCTCAAGTCAAAATTCTCTTTTCTCATTTCATTGTGTTCTTTTATAATTCTTTTTGTTACCCTATTTAGGAACATGTCATTAAAATAATAATGTTTGTAATCTTAAACTGCTTAATAAATCTAACTCTATTTTTATTAAATGGAACAGATACTTCATTCTTAATAGATAATGGTCGTTAACATAAATATTTACAAAAAACCAGCCCTCAAGTTGTTACAGTACGAGCTTCCCGAGAGGAGACCTTGTTTATGTGCTGGTAATAAATAAACTCACTGTGCACTGTGGCTGTTCCATTTCTCAGCAGGGGTCTTGGCAGCTGTGGAGAACATTTTATATTCTCATCAATTGCATAAAAGCCCATGTCCCTGCTTCTCTTTATAGATTCAGATTACTGGTGTAGACTCCAAAAAATCCCCATACAGCTCTGATCATTAATATAACAGAAGCTGGTCTGACAAGCAGAACACTTCTTTATCACCAGTTGTGTTTATATTTTGGAATGGTGGTTACTGGAAACACAGTAACATGCACATATATATTCATTGTGGTTTTTACTGGAAACTAAACTAAATGAGCGGTACTAAAACTCTTTTCATTTGGGAAATCAGAGTTGACCAGGTATGCATCATTATTCTGATCCATTTGTATTCTCACTCCTCCTTTTGCCTTCTGCTCTGGAAATTATTTAGTGTATCACTGGAACGTTCTCTCCATTTCTTTTCCTACAGACCATGGAATCCCTAAATGGTGGCAAACCGTTCCTGCAAGCTTTCTACGTGGATTTGCAAGGCGTCATCAAAACCCTTCGGTATTATGCAGGCTGGGCTGATAAAATTCACGGGATGACCATTCCTGTAGGTATGTGAAATCCAAGTACATTGAAAAGAGAAACTCAGGCTCCACCAGAAATACAGTTCCACCACCAAACACAGATAGCAGTCACATGGAATACAGATCTGAGCACACTTGCAACAGCTTGAACTAAACAACCAATGAAACAGAATATGTCACTAATTCTAACAATATCCCTATGTCAGTATGTAGACAGTTCACATATAGGTGCAGGGGCAGGCCACTTACATCAGTACGCCAGTCAGCTGACGAGCAGGTATGCGATTGTCAGCTACAAAGTGTTCAGCACTGTGCTGGGTTAAGGGTGTGGAGAGGCGTTGAGTGTGGGGAAGTTACACTGACACTTTTTTTTTCTTTTAAGATCCAGGTTAGGAGACAAAACCAGTAACACAAAACAAAGATCTCCACAGGAGAGTTACACTTATGTGCTAAGTCGTGTGGCTTGGCCTGTCAGTGCTGTAGCCCTTGAAAGAAAAGGGAGGTATCCACACAAGGTCAGTGGAAAGGTCTGGAGCTGAGCATGAACGCTAGCTGTAGCTAATGCCAAATGCGGTGCCTTCACAGCAGCCCCAAGGGCAGGCACCGTTATTAACATCCTCAATGACAGAGGAGAAAGCCGAGGCCTAGAGACGTTAGTTTTCCTGATTCACCACCAAATAAATTGTAGAGTCAAAACTTTGACATCAGTGCCTGGTGTGTGTCTTCACTAGAGGATCCTGGGAAGAAGAGATACTATGACAGGACAGGGGCCAACTGAAAGAGATATGAGGACATTGGCAGTGGTGAATAGATACAGAGAAAGAAAATACATGTTTGTGAGTGTGCCAGGTACTCTACCCATGTTCTCTGGAAAACAGCTTGCTTTCTGTGCACACATGAGAAAGAGTGGAAAGTGCTGCTGGGAACTACGGAATGCCCAGTTCGGGCCTTCCGAGGCTGAGGAGGATTGGCTTACCAGAAAAGCGGATGGTTGGTTGATAGTGTGGATGGCTTAGAGCAGTGCTTCTCGAACTTTAACGCACACACATATCACATATCAGTTGGAATCTTCAAGTGCAGATCGAGGGTGGGGCCTGAGTTTCTGCATTCTTACCCAGCTGCCAGGTGATGTCTGTGCTGCTGGTTCTCTGCCTTGAGTAGTGAGGAGAGGCTTCGGAGACCAGCACTGACCAGGTGGCCATTGTGATGCCTCATTTAGGCAAGAAGAAAAGAAGTCAGAGTGGAGAAGGGACAGAAGTGAGACTTCAAAGGACTATTTTAAAATTATCTCCGTGAGTGATGGTGACATGTGGAATGTTAGTCTTTAGAAAACGGTTGTCTGGTTATAGGGACTCTTCTCTGCCATCCAGAGGGTTCCCATGTTCAGCAGACTCAGAAAGATGGAGATAATTGCTCTTAGGGAATGTCAGAATCTTAGTTCAGTCCTGGCTCTGGGGTATCACAGAGCTGCTGTTCTCCGGCCTCATGTGTAGGATTGGGGAATGGCCTCAGTGAGCAGAGCTGTTATTTAGTATAAGCCTGGGAGTTAAAACCTTTGTCAGAAACAGGACATGTGTGACACAACATTGTAAAATAACTATTACTCAATAAAAAAATGTGAAAAAAAAAAGAAACAGGACATGTGTCAACCTTTTTAGGTTGGCCTCTCCTGCTTCAGTGTAGAAAGGAAGTTACCAGAATCAAAGGCCCTGGTTCTTTTGCTCCCCGCCGCACCTGCCATTTCACTGTTAAGACAACAAATACGTTTCAGGTATTTAAACATCTTTTCAAATAATGTACAGATATCTGAGAAATAAGGTGAAACAAAGGACTGTACACATAAATTTCTATTCAGCTCAACAGTGTCTTGGTTTTCATTTGCCTCCTTAGGAGAGACATTGATTGATTAGATAAAGGTTTATTGGAGTTTCTGATACTGTTTGACACTTTGCTGTTACTTTGGCCAGAAAGGTGGTTGATCCATAAGCTTCCATAAGCTTTTCATCTGATGCTCTTTGGAGATTTTGAGGATGTTGACCTAGGAGTTAGAAATACAGGGCTTTCACAGTAGTCTCTCCCACCTTTGCTCATAAACTGGTGTCCAGCCAAAGGAAAAAAAAAATGAGGAATTCTCTTAAATACTAAGTAATTTTTGTTTCCCTAATTTTTCCTAAAGTGCATTTAGAAGGATACCAGGGTGAGTGACTCTCCAGGGAGTCAGAGCTGTAGGCAGAGCTCCTACGAAGCTGGGGGTCTGGGGTGGGAGAGCTTTCCTTATGGTCCCTGAAGCAGGTAAAGGAAGGATGGAGATAAACGTGAACTTGGCAGCTTTCCTCTCTGTTCCAGGTTTAGGTACATTTGGGCATGCCTGTAGGCTGTTGAGAATTCATCTCACAGCCCCTCTGGCTACTTTAGTGCTTAGGGAATCTAGATGGCTCAACCAGGGGGATCAGAGTGGAAGATCAGGGAAAGGGAGGGTCATTATTATTCACTTACTTATTCTCAAATTTGTTCAATCTATCTATTTGTGCTTTGTCATTTGTAAGTTCGTATTTTAACATCAGTTTGATTTTTGTCAGTATTCTTGTCTGTATTCATTTTTGTCTTGTCTTTGTATTTTTGTCTATTCATTTTTCCAATGAAATCTGGAATATAAGAAGGTTGTTAGTCTTTAATCATGGGATCTTTATTATGTTACATGCATTTCCCTGTGAAATACCCTAATTTTGTTTGAAATTATAACATAAAGGAATAATATACTTTATATTTGCATAACACTTGAGAGTATAAAATGTTTGTTCACATATAAGATTCATGTGATTCTGTGTGTGATCCTGTGTGACAAGTTAGATTTTAAAAGGTATTGTACCCATTTTACAGGTAAGAAAATGAAACACCAAGGGTTTAGTGTCTTGAACAAGGTCACATGCGAGTAAGTGGCAGACCTGAGATTCAAGCCCAAGTCTCTTTCTGCCCAAGCCATTGTTGACCCCTTGTGGAGACCTGTTCAGCAAGGCAGGAAAGGGAAGACACCAGTCACCCTGATGAAGCATTTAACCCTCTGCAGATTTTTAGATTAATATCCAATGGATTCTTATTATTCATTGTAGTTATGCTCTGTAAAATTGGCGTGGACACTGAGTTAGTGAATGCTGAGCCATTGCTCCTAGAGGAAGTACATGGATGAAAAGCACAGTTCTGTCTAGTGACCCATAAAAATAAACCTGGAAGTGTTTTTTTTTTAATTTTAAAATATAAAACTGCTTTGTTACATTGAGTTATACTTCATGGTTCATCCAACTTAGTATGTCTAACACTAAAGGATAAAAACCAGAAAGAGTGGGAAGAATTAAGCTCTTGTCTCTTGGACTCCTTTCCACTTAGGAAGCCTCCGGAGTCTGCCTTGTCATGAGAAGAGCTCTTCCTTCACCTGCTCTACCAGGTGTCATCCTCAGTCTCTCAGTCTTTCACTCATTCCTCCATATATTCATTCATTCAGCAGATTTTTTTTTTGTTTAGAGCACCTGCTGTTTCATGTCCTTGGTTAAGCACTAGGGATACAAAGGTGAGTAAATAAGATGCTTGTAGAATAGTAAGGAAAACAAACAAGTAGACAGGGAAGTGTAACGTAGTGTGGCTTATTCAGATATGGAAGCATGAAGTTCGCTGGTTCTCCATAGCAAGGGCATCTCACCCAGTATTAAGGCTTCCTGGAGAAGGAAGTGGGATGTACCAGATGATACCTGAAGGGCAGGTAAGTGGAGATGGAGACAGGGCCATCACCAGCGGTGGTAATAGCCTGTGCGAAGCATGGAGGGAGGAGAGTATCGTGTGCTGATGGATCTGAAAGTGTATCCAGGTTAAGAAGACAGGGAGCTCTGGGCCTGGGGAAACCATGCTACAAGTTTTATTCCACAGTAATGGTGAGTCACTGGATTATTTTAAGTAAATGAATGCCTTGATCAAAATTGCATTTTAGAAAGAGACTTTGATTACATAGTAGATAATCAATTGGAGAGAGCAAGGATGTACTTTTCCCCCTCCCCCCGAGGAGTGGCCTCCCTCTAGAATATTTGGGAGGAGAAGGAAAGAGTTGTGACACGACCACTTTGGAGCTGTCCCCCAAACAGCCGTTTCTCCCTCTGAATGGAGAGATTCTCCTATCCCTGTCCATTGCATCCCACTCAAGGCCCACAGTGGGTGTTATCGCAGAATCATGAAATATCAGTTTGAGTCACAGGGGTCTGATGTTCTTCCCTGTGCAACGTGTCTGTTATTTCCTGCTATGGTACTCAGAGGAGCTGTTCTTTCTGACCATAAATCCTGTGCTTGACCCTTCTGCTACAGCGTCTCCTAATGACGATGATAAATAATCATCATCGCTATGATTTATTGTACGCTTTCTCTGTGCCCATTATATTATCTCTAATCTCATAGCAGCGCTCCAGGGGAAGTATTATTTTCCCCATTTTGATTATTTTAAATCTATATCCCAATTCTCTGCTCCTCTCATGTCCACAAACTCCTTGTGATAGAGGAAGGAACAAAGCTTGCTTTCAGTTTACTGAAGAAGAAACGGAGGTTAATTGATTTGTATTACTTACGATTTTTCTCTGTAACAAGTGCTGATTTTATTTTTTGATATATAAGCAGAGAAAATGTAGTACATGCTTTAAGATGAATTCCGACATAAAAATGGCCTTATGATACATTAGCATATAGGAAAAGTTAGAAAAAACTACCTAGGCCATCTGTAATTATTTATCCACTTCACCCCCTTCCAGTTTTACCTGTTAAACTAAAGAATAGGCTAAAAATGTACAGAAATTGTCTCAGATCCTAACTAAGGTTTTGCCTTCAACAGCTCGATCTAATGTAGTGTTATCAACAGAGGACGCATATGGTGAGGTCTTATTTATTGTTCACTCAGAATGAGAATAAGGAGCTGTTTGCTCTGCCCACCTAAGAAGAACCCAGGGTAGTTGGAGTTACCTGAATTGATGGTGACAGGAGATCACATGGTCTGC